AAAATGAAAACAGTAATTGATGAAATAGCTGACATAAAACTGAGAAAAATCAACAAAGCCAAAGATTTTTTTTCAAAGAATATTAGATTTGATAAACCCTTAGCAAGATCAACCAAAAGCAAAAGTATAAATTACTAATATCAGAATAAAAGGGCAATATCACTACAGATCCTACAAAAATAAAAAGATAAATCAGAAGTATTTGGAATAATTTTATATAAATAAATTTGACAATCTATATAAAATGAATGATTTTAGATAAAATAACAAGTTAAATTGATAAAAGAAAAATTAAAAGAAATCAAATAATTGCTAAATATATTCTATCTATAATTTAAAACTTACCCTCAAAGCAAATTTGAGCTTGGATGTATTTAGTGGTGAATTCTCCAAAATATTTAGGAAAAAATATCAGTCCTACACAACCTCTTTTAGGGAATAAAGAGAGTACACTTCCTCTTAATTTATGTTTTTTGAGGCTAGACCAACCCTAATACAAAAATATGACAAAGATATTATAATACAAGAAAATTACAAGCTAATAATTCTCATGAACATAGGGACAAAAATTAGAACAAAGTATTAAATAATCAAATCCAAAGAATATATAAAATGGATAACATATAACCAATTTGGTTTATTCTAGGAATAAATATCAGTTTAAAAAGTTAATATAATTTTTCTCACTAAATTGTATTTGCTTTTATTATGTAAGTAATAAAATAAAATAATAATAAAAGTAATAATCACTGATCACCATGCCAAAAAACCTCCAACTAGTTCATAAAGCTCTCAGCAAATTTGAAAAATGAGAACTTTTTAATATGATAAAGTTTATGTACAAAAGGCCTGTTGCTAACATATTTAGTGGTGAATTGTGGAGTGCTTTCTTCCTGAATTCAGAAACCACTCAAGCACATTTATTTTCATTACTTCTATTAATCATTGCATTGCAGGTCCTAGTTAGTGCAACAAGGCATGAAAAAAGAGTTGTCAGGTTGGAAAGAAGGAAGTAAAACTGTCATTTCAGATGACATGGTTGTAAATATAGAAAAATCCAAAAGAATATATACACAATTAGAGTTAATTAATAAATGTAGATCAGTCACTGAATACAAATCAACATATAAAAATCTACTGTATTTGTATGTGTTTGCAAAAACAGTTGGTAAATAAAAATTTTAAATAAAAATTTTAAAACAATACTATTAACAGCAGCATTGGAAAACCTCGAATATCTGGGAATAAATTTTATAAAAGACTTGTAAGATCATTAAAGTAAAAACTGTAAAACATTTCAGAGAAAAATTATATAAGATTTAATTAGATGAGTAGATATACCATGTTCATGGACTTGAAGACTTAATATTATAAATTACTTTTATAACTTAAAAATCTATTTTTCAAAAGTTAATTATTGATTCAGTGCAACCTCAATCAAGATCCCAACAGAGTTTTTTGTGGAAATGTATTAGGGATTTCCATAAGCTATATGAAAATGCAAACGACCTACAGCAGCCAAGAAATCAAGAAGAAATTGTTGGAAAAGTCATCATATCAGATAGCATGACTTACTATAAAGCTACAATATTTAATGCAGTGTGGTATTAGTATAATAAGCGATGCATACACCAGAAGAGAAAGTCTAGAAATAGGTTCATATATGTACTTGATGTACAACAATGGTGCCACTGCAATTTTGTAATAAGATTTTTTTCAATAAATGATGCTGGAGCAATTAGATAATTCACATGAAACAGACTTTAATCTTAATTTACACTATCTACAAAAATTAATAGTGATTAAATTATAGAACTTCATGAGAAAGAAAAACAGTAATATCCTAGAACATAGGTTGGTAAATTATTTTTTGTAAAGGGACAAATAGTAAATATTTTCAGCTTTGTAGGTCATATGGTCTCTGTTGAAACTACTTAACTCTGCTGTTGTAGTTCAAAGGCAGCCATAAACAACACATCAATGAATGAATGAGAATGGCTGTGTTCCAAATTTTATTTGCAAATACAAATGGCAGGTCACATGGGCCATAAATTTCTGACCCCTGCTTTAGAAGATAACAGAATAATTTCATGACATTGGGTACACAGTGATTTCTTAAATAAGATATCCCCAAAACATAAAACATAAAAGATGGATTAATTAAAGTTCTGAGGTTCTGTTTATTGAAAGACATCATTAAGAGGATCAAACAGCAAGACATAGTTTAGTAGAAGATATTTGCTATATATGTGTACTTATACATGCATCATATATGTTCTTATATATATATACATATAGCTGTGTATATGCATGTATTTATATAAACACATATATTGCATATATATCCAACAAATAACATATCTACAATATCTAAAGAACATCTACAAATCAATAAGAAAAAGACAAATCAATAAACAAAGTGAGCAAAAAACTTGAGCAGGCAGTTTTACAAAAGAGACTATCAATATGAATATAAGCACATGAAAATATGTTCCATATAATTAGTAATCAGAGAAATGCAAATAGGAATAAACCATAATCAGATACAAGTCCCTCCCCTGCAAAATGGATAAAATGAAAATGAATGACACAAAAATTAATGTGCAAAAATCGCTAGCATTCCTATACACCAAAAACAGGCAAGCCAAGAGCCAAACCATGAATGAACTTCCATTCATAATTGCTACAAAAAGAATAAAAAACCTAGGAATGCAGATAACAAGGGAAATGAAGGACTTCTTCAAGGTACAAATCACTGCTCAAAGAAATCAGTGATGACATAAACAAATGGTAAAACATTCCATTCTCATAGATTGGAAGAATCAATATTGTAAAAATGGCCATACTGCCCAAAACAATTTATAGATTCAATGCTACTCCCATTAAACTACCATCAACTTCTTCACAGAACTAGAAAATACAATTTAAAAATTTATGTGGAAACAAAAAAGATCATGAATAGTCAAGGCAGTACTAAGCAAAAAGAACAAAGCTAAGGAAGGGCATCAAGCTACCCGATTTCAAACTATACTACCAGACTATAGTACCTAAAACAGCATGGTACCAGTACAAGAAAAGACACATAGACCAATGGAACTGAATAGAGCACCCAGAAATAAGATCACACACCTTCAACCATCTGATCTTTGAAAACCTAACAAAAACAAGCAATGGGGAAAGCATTCTCTATTTAATAAGTGATATTGAGAAAACAGGCTAGCCATGTGAAGAAAACTGAAACTGGACCCCTTCTTTATACTATATACAAAAATCAACTCAAGATGTATTAAAGACTTAAATGTAAAACCCAAAACTATAAAAACCCTGGAAGAAAATCTAGGCAATACCATTCAGGACACAGGCATAGGCAAAGATTTCATGATGAAGATGTCAAAATCAATTCCAACAAAAGCAAAAACTGACAAATGGAATCTAATTAAACTAAGGAGCCTCTGGACAGCAAAAGAAACTGTCAACAGAGAAAACAGAAAACCAGCAGAATGGGAGAAAATTTTGCAATTATGCATCTGACAAAGATCTAATATCCAGCATCTACAAGGACCTTAAACAAATTTACAAGAAAAACAAATAATCCTATTAAAAAGTGGGCAAAGGACATAAACAGACACTTCTCAAAAGAAGACATTCATGCAGCCAACAAACATATAAAAAAGCTCAACATAACTGATCATAAGAGAAATGCAAACCAAAGCCACAATGTGTTATCATCTCACATTAATCAGAACAATTATTACAAAGTCAAAAAATAATATATGCTGGTGAAGTTGTGGAGAAACTCTTATCTGTAGATGGGAGTATAAATGAGTTCAACAATTGTGGAAGACAGTGTGATGATTCCTCAAAGACCTAGAAACAGAAATAACATTTGACCTAACAATCTCATTAGTGGGTATATACCCAGAGGAATATATTAATAAATCATTCTATTATAAAAACACATATGCATGTATGTTTATTGCAGCACTGTTCACAATAGCAAAGACATGGAATCAACCTAGATATCCATCAATGATAGACTGGGTAAAGATAATGCAGTACATATACACTACGGAATACTATGCAGCCATAAAAAGGAATGAGATCATGTCCCTTGCAGGGACATGAATGGAGCTGGAGGCCACTATCCTTAACAAACAAATGCAGGAGCAGAAAATCAAATACTATATGTTCTCACTTATAAGTGGGAGCTAAATAATGAGAACACATGGACACATAGTGGGGAGCAATACACACGAGAGCCTATGGGGGGGCAGAGGGTGATAAGAGAGAGAGGATCAAAAAACATAAGCAATGAACACAAGGCTTAATACCTGGGCAATGAAGTAATCTGTACAACAAACCCCCAAAGCACACATTTACGTATGTAACAAAACTGCACATCTTGCACATGGACCCATGAACTTAAAAGTTTTTAAAAAATGAACAAATAAATAAATAAATAAATAAAAATTAGTTTAGATTCAGTATTCCACCGCAAACTTTTCAAAATCTATTTCATACCTATAATTATATTCCCTTCTAATTTCTAAAGCTGATAACTCTCTTTTTTTTTTTTTTTGAGATGGAGTTTTGCTGTTCTTACCCAGACTGGAGTGCAATGGCACAATCTCAGCTCACCGCAACCTCCACCTCCTGGGTTCAAGCAATTCTCCTGCCTCAGCCTCCCAAGTAGCTGGGACTTCAGGCACGCACCACCATGCCCAGCTAATTTTTGTATTTTTAGTAAAGACGGGGCTTCACCTTGTTGACCAGGATGGACTCAATCTCTTGACCTCGTGATCCACCCGCCTTGGCCTCCCAAAGTGCTGGGATTATAGGCGTGAGCCACCGAGCCCGGCCAACTCTCTTTTTTTTTTAACCTTGGTCAGACATTGCAGACTTTTGACATTTTTGGTTATTTTGAAAAAAATCATCTCTTAATTTTTTACAAATTTATCCCACCCCAACCTCCCACATTTTATTCATTTGTTTTTTTCCTTTAGTAATATCCTTGCTTCCACTTTATGTATTTTTTTCCACTAGCTTTTTAAGCTTTAAACATGATTTATTTCTAGGCAATCTTTTCTTATTTTTAAAATATGCATTCCTGGCTGCATTTTCTCTGAGTATACGTAGATTTCGATTTGTATTGTTTTCATTGTCATTCTTGTTGTTGCAGTAAATTACACTAGCTCTGGATCATGCTATCTAGGTTCAAATCCCAACTCTGTCGTTGATGAATTGTGTGCTCTTGGCCAGGTTAGTTAGTAGAGCTTTGTGGTTTCAGTTCCTCATCTGTGAAATGAGATGATAATGGAATCAACTTCCCAAGATTACTGTGAAAATAAAAAGATAATCCATGTAGATCACTTAACACAATGCTGGTTGTATAATAATGTTCAATAATTTTAAGATATTATCATTTCTAAATAATTTATAATTCATTTTAAATTTCTTTGTATTAAAGTTATTTAAAGGAGAGGTTTTTATTTCCAAGTTTATAAACAATTTGCTTATGTGTTGATTTTTAATTAAACTTTTATTTCAGTATAAAAAAGTGACCTGAATGATTTATGTTGAAAGTTAACATTTTCTTTGAGTTTTAGTAGCCAGTTAATGTTTCATGTGTATTTGAAGAGACTAGGCATTCACTGTTTATTGCATACAAAGTCCTTTATTCAATCAGGTGTCTTTGTTATTAAAATCCTCTCTACCCTTACTTATTTTTTCCTACTTGATCTGTCAAATTTGAGATATGTGTCAAAATCTTCCAAAATGGCTCTGTATTTTTCATTCCTACTTATATTTCTATCATTTTCTTCTTATAAGTTATAAAGATGATATCTGATGTTATATTGTTAGATTTATAAAGGTTCATTATTAGTAGAGCTTCTTATAGAATTGTATTTTCCACCAATATGAACATTTTCTATCTTGTCAAATCCTTTTCACATTATTCTTTTTTGTCTAACATTAATGTTACTATATTTGTTATCCTTATTAGAACTTGCCTGATGTATCTTTCTATGTTTTTATTTTCAATCTTCTTTTTAGATGTCTTTTTCTAAATAACAGATAGACAGATTTGCTGTTGATGTTTTACCAAATTTGAGATTCTCTTTATTAAAGAAATTCTGTTCATTTGTCATGTACTGGAATTATTGATGGCTTGACTTTTTTCTGCCATCTGGTTGTCCATATGTGTGTGTATGTGTTTATCATATAAACAGCTATGTAAAAGTTATAAAACATATAGCTTTTAGAACTTCCCTCCTATCTCTCCCTTATGCCTTGTCCCTGCCATCTTTATGTTGCAATCATCTAGAATAGGGGTTCTGCTCCCTCCTTTTGTAATGTCTTATTGCACATTCATTTACATACTATCTGTGGCTGCTTTCACACTACAAAAGCAGAGCTGAGTAGTTGCAACAGGGGCTGTATGGAACACAAAACTGAAAACATTTACTATCTGGCCTTTTACAGAAAACATTTGCCAATGTCTAATCTAGATTTAAATTTTATATTATTAATTTTAAATATATGTCATATTTAGACAAATCATCTAATTTCTTTTCTCTTCCCTGATTCTTGAATATTTCACCTTCATCTTGTTGGATTCATCATTTATTTTGTTAAAGTTTATCCTATAGTCATCCTTTCAAAGAGATTCTGTTGGTGATACAAATCTGCTGAGTTTATTTCAAAAATCATGTTTTGGGATCGTTGTTTCATTTTCATGGATGTAATATCTTGAAACTCGTTGAGGATAATTATTATATTTGTGATACTTATAAGCATATATTTTACATACAATAATTATATTTTCCTAAAATTATAAAATTTATAAAAAGAATTTGTACTTATCTTTTTAAAATTTATAAACTTTCTTTCCTTAGGTATTATTTTCTCTGAGTTTGGTGTCTCTGCAAACTTGTATTATTCTTATACTGAATTATTCTCATACTTTATAAATGAGAATCCCAGTAAGCTCTTTCCTTCTGCTTAATGTGCGTCGACTTGTGATTATAGGAAAAGGGAAGGGCATATTGCTGGGGAGAGTGTTTCTTTTCAGACTGAGGAGCCTCCCTGAGCCTCCTGGGGTCCACTGGGGTCTTCTTACCGTTTGCTCTCAGAATCCACAGGGTCACTACTTTAATCTGTGAACAATTACAAACAGGAGAAGGGAATATGAGGAGCAGTTCAGCTGCTCCAAATGCAGTGCTTCAATTAATCACTCTGGTCATTACCCTAGGATGTCCTATTCATAGAATCTGCTCTCTCTGAGCTTGTAGCTTTCCCGAAATTTCTCCTACCTCCTCAGCAATCTGGAGCCTATGAGTATGTATGGCACAGTTTCTCTAGGATGTTTTTCTAAGGTTTGATATCATCTCCTAAAAATTTCTCATACACTTAATGGCACTTTTTTGCACCCAGTCCTGTCCCCACCCCTCTTAATCTTTTCAGTCATTTCGTAAGATTTAGTAGAGGTAACTTTCCTGCCGGGTGACATCTTGAGTTACTCATCATACACAGGATTTTTCAATTAACTCTGTCAAAACACCATGAAATATAATTTGTGGGTGATAAACTATGTTCTTGCCATTTTTATTTCAAAATATTTAAAAAGATACTGAGTTTCTGTGACACAGAAAGAAAACTGAAGCCCTACTCCAACAATTCTCTGAGGGGATTTAAAATGATAACATTTCACCAACTATAGTGCAAAGGGGTACTTAGCCTCAAGTCATTTGCCTTTAACAATACATTGGGTAGTCTATTCTATTTTTTTAAATGTTCTTTCATGGGGGTGGGAGACACTGATTGCAAAGAGCTGTAATTTTTAGCCACTTTTTCCACCTTATACGTTGGGCAGCGATTAGTGACATTTTCAGTCAGATTTGGCTAACAAGCTCATGCTGTTTTGGAATTCTACTCCCCTTCCTGCCATACCTCAATTCCTGACTGCTGAGTCGCCTGTTCAGAGTCCATCAGGAGCTAACTTTAACAGCTTTAATACTCATTAAGAGAATCCTTCTGAGAGTACCTAGAAAGCATAGACCCTCACCGCTAATATTATTTGGGCTTTCGAGTCCCTGAAAAGAACAGCTGGTGTCATTTGGCTTTCTTGAGGGTCCTCAGAAGGGATATATGTTTGAAATTCCTATAAATATTGTGTAAGATTTTCCAACTGATTATGAACATCCTCCCTTCTTTCTCCTTTTTCAGTTATGGGATTGATATTTGCAGGGGGTCAAAGTCATCTCTGTACACTCCCAGAACCCTCTGACATAGCATGTATTGAACCTCTCCTTTTTTGTTGTTTTTTGGTCGTTGCTGTTGTTTTTGCTTGGTGTAAGCTAAATTTTTTCTTCTTGCCATCCAATGGTGCCACTTTCACTATCTGCTGTACACATTTCGAACTCACAGAGTTTGAATGTCCTTCTGTGCTCTGATCAAGGAATTTCTTGTAGCAGCTATCTTAGGTGCAACGCGGCTTTCAGTGATCATGACCTGTGCTTTATCAGATTTTAAAGTAGTGGCATGTAACAACTAGGCTGCCACCACTATTGGTTTCTCCCCTTCCGTCAGTTTTAGGGCCCTTATCCTTTGCCATCAATCTATTGCTTGTCTTCTCCTCTCTACCTCCCAGAAAAAAAAGGAAGGCAAATTCATATTTATTTGGCTCTGACAATGTGTAAAGCATTGTGCTGGGTATTTTCAGAAATATTTTTCATTAAATTATCAGTACACCTGAGCGAGGGAGTTACTATCCCCACTTTTACCAGTTGGAAAACTGAGGCTCAGAGAAGTGAAGAACTTCCTTGAGATCACAAGAGTGGCGAGCGGTAGAGCTGAGATTTGGATCCTGGACTCCAAACTCAGAAGCCTGGGGGATTTCCCTGAGGGTCATCCTCAAGCCTCATCTGCCCAAGAGTGTGGATCTGAATTCAGATGAGAAACTAGAGGTTATAGGAAGCAAGCAGCAGACTCTTTTCCTTAAAAGGAACAAGGCTGGCCAGAGTACCTTTAAATGTGAAGAATTGTAGCACCAGATGTCAGGCTGAACAGACAAAGTTGGCTGCCTGAAATTTTTCTGTAGAGTCATGGAGACATGAATTTTAAGTACGAATTAACTCAGTTCTCAGCTCCTGCACTATTATTATAAACAAAATATTGAGCTTTCTTATTAGCTCATTTTGCTTTTTCTGACATTCTGCTTTTATTTCTTAACCTAGACAAACGGAGCTTTTTCTAATTCAATACCTCAAATCAACAAACATTTATTGTTTGGCTACTTTGTGGTAGGGACTATAGTATATATTGGAGATAAAAAGAAGATTAAAAACATGCTTCCTGACCACATATAGTTTGCAGTATTAGAAGTCAGGGAGAGGGAGTGTTGATGCAAGAAACAGGCAAACAAACCCACAATTAGCCTACAACGAGATAGTATAACAAGGCTGTGCAACGTGCCACAGAACCACAGAAAAGAGACGGCTAACACAACCTAGCTGGGAGTGGATAGGGAATGGATAGGGGAAAACTGCTGAGACGATGCAATTCTTGATAAATGTGTGACCTCTTCAGACCAGCAAGACCATAGCTTTATGTGTAGGACTCTCCGGGGGGAGGAGAAAATCACACTAAACTAAGGAAGTAATGAAAGTCTTCTCCTGAGTGTCTGAGAAGATAATTCCGTTGCTAGAGCTGCACTGGAGCCTAAATGAATCTTTCATGCCCCAGCTCTCTTTAATTTTCTTGTATGTAATTTCACCTTATGTCCATTGCTGGATTTCTGGGTGGCTATCCGGAATTTCCTCAGGCCTGGCTAATAATCCATTTCTCTTCATTTGTACCCCCTTTCTCTAGTGCTCCATCTGGAAATTTACTCAGCTCCTATCAATCCCTGGGCCTACTGCTCCTACATTACTAAGCGACTATCTTATCTTCTGTAAGCCCTCTGAGCTTCTCTTCACAGTTTCTGCTTAATCATTGCCTCTACTGGTTGTTGTCTAATGGTTTTTGAGGTCAGCTTTCTCATGTGTATCCCTTAGCTACTGTTTTTACTCCCAACTGCCTAACTTTCTCTCTTTATCATAGTCACACTCTCCAAAAAAGGAATCAGTTCGTTAGCTAATTACTAACCTCTTCCTTGGGCAAAGGCTTTATTGAGTCAGCTCGCAAGCCACTGTCTAACCAGAAGATTGATTGCCATGGTGTCAGATGTTGAGCCCTGTTCTAACCAGGAGGCCAGAGTTACAAGAGACGAGGACAGAAGCTTACATTGATAGAACCAGCCTTAGACGGGGGGCTGTGGATATGGCAGACAACCTGAGGCTTTGCTGAATTAGGAGAATCACACTACAGGCATAATTAGAGACATTTTAAAAGAAGAAAACATACTAACATCAGCCACAATACAACACTGACATAACTTCAGGGGATGGTAGGGGAAAAGGGGATAAAGAAAAATAGAAATTCATCTTTAGGAATAAACATTTATGTACAGGAAAGAGCACAGAAAATAGATCTATTTTCGGAAAGGAGACAGGTTGATTCACTTCATAGAAAATTACCTTTCCTGAGATCCACATAAAGGAAGTCCAAAGACATCTTCATCTTCTCAAATATATGAGTGACTTACAGAGTGTGGTGTCATGGTTCCTCGGCCTAGCCAAGTTGACACATACCCAGTTCTTCATTCACACTCTAAGCTGGATGTTGCTGTAAAGGTATATATTTTGCAGATGTAGTTAATTATCTACAATCAGTTGACATTAAGTAGATTATCCTAAATAATCTGAGTGAGTCTCATCCAATCAGGTGAAAGGTCTTAAGAGCAAAACTGAGGTTCTTTTCCTAAAGAAGAAGAAATTTCACCTGTGGGTTGCAGCCTCCACTATCCAAGGGATTTTTGACCTGCGGGCCTGCCCTAAAGATTTCAGACTTGCCAGCCTCACAATTATGTAAGCCAATTTCTTTAAAATACATAAACATACAAATATAAAAAATGTATCTCCTACTAGTTGTTCTCTGGTAGAGCCTCGCTTTGTGTGGTGTACAGTATGGAAGCACAAATTCCTCAGACTAGCTTCAGTAGAATTTGGTACCCCACATAAGCTTTATCATCAGCTGCTCACTCCAAATGCACCAGACTCCTGTGTGTCTTGTCATTTGCATGCTCATTTTCCTGTTTCTACTCACACTGCCTTTCCCTTTGTACTTGTCTCCATTCTTTCTCCCACCTTTTATAAATCCTTCCTTTTATTTGCACTCTAGCTCTACCCCAAGTCCTCCACAAAGCAGCTTTGAACTTCAGCTCCTCTTGTGCTTTCTCTAAATTCCCTTAGCAGTTATTAGCTATGCCATTCAGTAAAGTTTTTAATCTTCTGTATCTTACCTGACACTGTTTTTGAAAATATAATATCCACCACTAGAAGGTATAAATTTGCAAGTACAAATTTGGGTGTGCATGAAATGTCACTATTCTTTAAATCAAATTAGCCAGGCGCAGTGGCTCAAGCCTGTAATCCCAGCACTTTGGGAGGCCGAGGCGGGTGGATCACGAGGTCAAGAGATCGAGACCATCCTGGTCAACATGGTGAAACCCCGTCTCTACTAAAAATACAAAAAATTAGCTGGGCACGGTGGCGTGTGCCTATAATCCCAGCTACTCAGGAGGCTGAGGCAGGAGAATTGCCTGAACCCAGGAGGCGGAGGTTGCAGTGGGCCGAGATCGCGCCATTGCACTCTAGCCTGGGTAACAAAAGCGAAACTCTGTCTCAGAAAAATAAAAATTAAAAAAAATCAAATTAAATTTATCACAGACTTAAGTGACCTCAGCCTTAATTCCGCTGGAGTAGAAGGAAATCCAATCTCAGTTCTTACTGGGCTTCCCTCTCTTCCTAGTATTGTATTAGAGTTTGACTTATGTTGAGCGTAGAAAATGGAAGATAGACTTTGACATCCTCACTGGTCCCTAGAAGCCAGGCAATTCCTCCACTTACGGGCCAAGAGGGGCAAGGAAATCCAGTCTCCCTGACGGCACCAGGCATCCATATGAGATTAGAATATCTCCCTGGGGTACTCTTATTCTCACTACTGGAACCCTAATCTTTCATATTCTACAGTTTGGGGGAATTTTTTGTTCTCTGTAATTCCACCTGCCCATAGCCCCTTCCTCTTTCTTTCTCGTTCTCTGTCTTCCCAGATGTGCTTACCTTTTTAATCCCCTAGCAATATCTCCTCAAGGAGCAACAGACGTGGAAGGTAGATTGCTGGGTACAACACCAGAAATAACATTGACACAGCATTCTAAGGAGTCCTGTTCCAGGAGGCTTCATTTACAATGTGAATAATGCGCCCTGGAGTTGCCTAAGAGAGAGCTCTTGTAAGACAATGTTCTGCCTAGTAACAAAAAATTCCCTTGAAGGCTGGCTGGAATGGAAGGGAGGGAAAATATAAGGAGAACAAAACCCAAATAAATAGCTCAATAAATTATCCTATCACACACCTTTTTTTCTTGTGTTTTTATTTCACTTTAAAAAATATGTATGGGCCGACATGAGTAGTGTTCCAATTAGATTATGAGCTTTTTGAAAATGAGAACAATATTTTATTTACTACTTATTTTTAACCTTTCTAAGGTTGCAACATTAATAACTTGTACATAGCAGGATCTCAAACGTGCCTTGAAAGGAATGGAAGAATGACTGAGTTTGTGAATTATTGGTTAGGCCCTGACCTGTTCAGACTGCACTGGCGCCAACTTCCTCACTGCAGGATTGACTCTGGTGTCTTTTTATTGTCACTTTTAGTGTTAGGTAAATAACTAAACCATTTTTAGTGTCACAACTTCATGTTTTCCTTTACCAGCTTCTGTTCACAGCCACTCCTTTCCTGAATTTCTGAGACATCAAATTTCTCCTAGGGACATTTTTGGCCCTAGTAGAAGTAAACACTTCCTTTAAAATTTAGGTAGATGATATTAGCATGAACTTTCTTTAATGTAAATGAATGGAAGGTTACAACATAAACATGTATATGGTACCAACAGTGGAAAATGTCCAAGTGAAATCAAAGCGACCTGGCATTCGTTTCAATATACTACTCAATTGAAGAGCGGAGTACATTATATGAACTTTATCCCACTAATCCTCAGAGATAAGCAAAAGAACTTGAAAGAATGGCTTGTATAGATAGGGTCATATAGTCAGGTAGTGACAGTGCTGTTAACAGCCTGCTGCCTTGCCAATACTCGAATAGTTAGGCTACTTAGCCTTAACACTGGGTTATACATTGTTTTAATGACATAATGACATATTTGTGCTCTAACAGAAGAATTCACATTTTCACAGCATATTTACATTAGCACTCCTGGTATTGAGAAGATGTATCCAAATTTGCCAATATTCACTTAGTTTTGAACCCTATAATTTCCCTTTTCTGTAATCTTGCTGCTGCTTTTATTTTTCTCCTCTCCACTCCTTCCCACATTCCCTTCTCTCTAATGATATTAAAAGTAAGACTGAAAGAAAGCTCAACCACATTATAGCATTGAAACTTAATATATCAGCCCTCCTAGGACTACTTGCACTTCGAAAGGCAACTTAGCTGAAAGAAATTATCTATCACTTTCTGCTATCAAGGAAGATCTTGGGGAAGTAAAAAGCCTTCTTTCCATGTTCTCTTAAATAACATGCAGGTGATTACACATTCTACTTTCAGCTTCTAGAGGAGAAAGTTTGCCATGGAAAAAGACAGAGGAAGTAATGATAGGGGGAAAGAGGATGAGGGGAGTATTTCATTTTAATATTTAAGTGGGGAAAGAAGGAGAACAGGGTAGAACTTTACCTTTTCCATATCTGGTAAACCACCATACTTGTGGAAAGGAACCGTATACTTTCAGTACTTAACCAATATGCACCAACAAGGAAACCATTTTCCAGGCCTTCTTTTGACAGAACAATCCTAACTAACAATGCAGACTGACATTTTGTAAAATGTGTTTTTGTCTCCCTCTCCTTCTTTTCCCTCCCCTATACTTATTTAGGATCTGATCACAGAGTCAGCACTGGGCTATGCATTATGCCTCATCAACCAGTGCCCTTTCATGGCTTCACACCAGTGCTCATGTTATTCCCTTTACCTGAAATCATCTTCCCGCTGTTGCTCTGCCTATTCAACTCCTATTCATCTAGCAAGACCCAATTAAAATGCCAGCCATGATGCATTCTCCAGTTCTACCCTGAGCAAGACTAATCCCTCCCTCTATTATAACTCCACAGCACTATTGAACATGTTTATATTTTATAACTCATCTTATATAATTAATATATGTTAATATGTTGCTCTACTCCACAATATGTAAACTACTTTAAGGTGGGGCCAGGTCTTATTTATTCATATTTTATGTGCCTAATACTACTATATATCAGGCATGATAAATATATATACTACAGTCTGAACAGTGTAAAATATTTACAGTTTCCTAAGGGAGACAAGGTTTACAGACATAGGAGAGCAAGATGGTATAATGGATTGGACTAGGACAATGAGGGTTAGGTAAGTACTAAATTCAACAATATTTATTAAGTAGCTAGGAGACAGGAATTATGTCCTGGGACTACTAGGATAAATAAAACAGTCATTTCCGTTAAGGTGCTCACAATCCACCTTGTAGATACTCTTTAAAAGTAGACACTTCCCTGGTTTACCTATCACTTTACATGTTGTTCCTTATAGGAACCCTGTGATGTACGTCATTATTTTCATTTTCATAGAGACGGAAACAGAGGGTTTGAATTCCCAGGTCTTCTGACTCCAAGGCCAGATTTTTCTTCCCCACTACATCAGTGTTCCTCCAAATTTTCCTCTAGTGTACACTTTCCCAGTAGAGAATAACCTTAGGCTCCTCAGGGTTAGGAAATACTTATATGTTATCTTAAAAAGTAATGCTTACTACAATCTCTTACCTTATTTACCAGACAGTCAAAATGACGCTCTGAGAAAATGAGCCACATTGATTCTGGGTCCATGAGGGTCCTCAGTACAGGGTTTCACAATCAGAGTAGTCCACATAATGTGAGAAGCATATGCTACACTCCTGCCTCTCTATCCAGGGTCCCTGGGTTTGGCTTGAGTCCACATCCAAAATTTTGGTTAACTTCATCAGACTTCTTAGTGTCATAATTTTATTCACAGTCTTCTCTGAAGACTGGAACAAAACTTCCAGATGTTAAGTGAGCAGTGAGGGCTGACCCTTTCCTCCCTGAAAGGATATCTCATTCTGGCAATAAGGACTCTTCAGTCTGATACTATCTGCCAAGCCTCCCATTGCTGGTCTCCTTCTACTCCCTGAGGATCCTCGAAGACCCGAAAAGGCTTACCACCACACTCCGGTCAGCACCGCCGCTAGAGGGCAGCCCGAGGCTGCAGCTTCCTGAGCCCTCTAGTGGTTGCTGGGGTGACCTGGCTCTTTTATGGAACCCATTAAAAACTCAGAAGTTGCACTTGGGAAGCCAGCCTGTGTGACACCCGGTAGCGAACTTCTTAGAAAACGTCTTGGTTCTCAGCTTCCTTTTCTTAAGGCCTTTGACAGAACTTAGATACGTTACCTGATGAGTCTCCTACTCCCTAAGGATCTCCTTCGCCCATGGTGGTTGGAACTTGGAGCCATCATTCTCTCTTGGCAAGGCAAAAACTTAGAATCTTGGGGAAGTTGGCAACTTTCCTCAATGTGATATAGGGCGCGTGCGCAGGAACACACACACACACACACACACACACACACACACACATATATATATATATATACCTACATTCAAGATTTTTCAGCGTAATTCTAGTTTCAGCATTGCTTGCAGGCTCTGGAATTAAACTTCCAGGACTCAAATTTTGGCTCCTGCATTTACTAATTGGGTAATTTTGAGAATGTTAATTAACCTAAGCTTCCATTTCATTGGTAACGTAGGGAGAATAATAATACCTACATTATACACTTTTGGGGAGGAATAACTATGATAATGTATGGAAAGTGCTAGTCTGGAACACTAAGTGTTCAACAAACATTAGCTATTTTTATTCAAAGCTTCTGTCTAGTGCATACCATGTCTATCAATTTGGTCCAGAAAAATACTGTCTTTACACACCCACATGAATATATGTATGCAAAATGAATTTTGTAAACCACCTATAGTTTTCTAAAGTGGCTAAGCTAATAGAGACCCTAGAGTATGGAAAAGGGGGCTCATTTGTGTGATGCAATTCGTGCAATGGGTATTTGGAGCACAGCCTAATCCAAGAGGCCTGGATCCTCATGGAGGGGACTGTGTTTCGCATACAGATGTTCTTCCTCCCCTCACCCTCATCCTCACCCCTCACCAAGTGCAAGCATACAGGGTGAGTCTGGCCCTTGAGTCTGTGGGTCAGGGCAGAGGGCACAGTGGACGAAAGCAAGAGGGTTTCAGGCCAAGGCAGGGAACTGAGAACTCAAAGGCCAGGCAACCCAAGCCAATCAGATTCACCACCCACTAGGAATCTAAAAGGTGGCAGAGGCTTACAGCCCAAAGTCCATGCACAACAGGAAAGTGGCCAGAGAATCTGACAGGTAGAAACCTGATAGAGACACTATCAGAAAACTTAAAAGCTGAAGGGCTCATAACACCCACAGGCCCAAAGAAAGGTCAGTGTGAGCTGAACAGCTGTTGTATCTGGTGCCAGGGGCCTTGGCTGCTGTCTTCTACATCCAGGCAGCCTCCCTGATTAGCCCCACCTAGAAAAGCCAATTCTTCTGCTCTTAAAGGAGACTGGCTTATTTGTGGCAAAGCTATCATTTAGGTATGAATGGGAAGTAGGCGAATGGTGTGGAGTCTGCGGGGGGGGGAGGGTGGGTGTTCAACGGGCTCCAAAGCAAGGAGCTCGTGGCTGAAGCCTGAGCCTCCATGTTGTGAGTACTATGAGCGTTTCTTTCAGAGGCAGACAGGGGCCTTGGCTGCCGGGACCCGGACAAGCCGCGACTTGAGCTATGCCTTAGAGCCTGGGTTGAAATGGGAGCGGTATAAAGGAGGAGGGAAAGCATTCCTGGAGAGGGGGTGGGGTGGGGTGGGGTGGGTAGGTGGAGGGGAACAGCACGAGCAAAGGCGTGAAGGAAGAATGAATCTGCTGCGCGTTGAGGATGGCATGGAGACTTCCCTGATTGGAGCCGGGAGTTCTTGCAGGCGGATGGAGGCCGCTATGATTGGATAGCTAAAGTGGGGCCAGATTTGGAGGGCTTTGAATGCCCGACCGAGGAGCACTCAACCCAGCTCCTGACTCGCTATTTCCGTTCAAGACCGAATTACCTAAAGGGTGGTTAATTCCAACGGATGTTCTTCTTTGGGGGCTTCTGAAAAGTCAGTTTATCCTCTTACCTGTTTCAGTTCTATTTACTCGGGGAGGAAGCAATCCTTACATGTCGAGGGGAGGGGGGATAATGTTGATAAATTTCTCTTTACTTGCTTTGAAGATGCCTCCCCCGCCCCAAATCCCATTTCCACGCCAAATATTATTAAATTTGGTAATTTGGTTTCTCCTCCTCACGCAAGTTCTCTTTCTCTCGCCAGCACCTCCCCCACGTTTTCCTGCTCTCCACCAGCCGGGCCAGTCGCCTCCCGACCCCCAGCTGCGCCCTCCCCAGCCCGCTGGCCCGCGTAGCCCTAGGCCCCGTGCGCCCCCCTCCCGGCCCACCGCGCCCGCGGTCCGCACACCCTGGTCCACGCCCCCCCGGCGGAGCGGTAGGTGTTGTGCGGTCTGCGCCGGGCCGCAGTGCGGCTGCGCGCACTGGGCTGCCTCCGGGGCTGGTAGGGCAGCGGCGGCCGCGGCGGCGGCTGGGCCGGGAGCGAGCGGCGGCGGCGTGGGGAGTGGTGTGGAGCGGAGCCTGGGGCTGCAGCAGCGCTGGGACTCCGGAGTAGAAAGCCCCGGGGACAAGGAAGGAAGGCCCGGTCGCCAAATCCCTGAGCAACCGTTCTTCTTCGATTTTGGGGGGAGCCTGCCTCCCACCTCGTCTTCAAACTCCCCCATCTCACCCCCCAGCCCCGGCCGCTGACGGGAGGAGGCGGCGGCGGCAGCGGGGGGCTGAGGGGCGCCGCCATGCCTTTGCCACGGTGAAGCGCCCCGGCCGCTGGTCTCCCCGGTGATGTCCCCCAGGCGGCAGGCGCAAGCGACTCACTCGAGCCCTGGGGTAAAGGCCTAGCTTATCCAGCTTCCTTCCTCCTCCTCCTCCTCTTCCCCTCCCCCCCTCCTCCTCTCCCCATTTCGTCCTCCCCTCGCGGTCTCTTCCCTTACCCTTCCCCGAGCCCCCATCTTTCCCTCCGTCCCTCCCACCCCTCCAGCAGCGATGGCAGAGGAACAACAACAGCCGCCACCACAGCAGCCTGATGCCCATCAGCAGCTTTCCCCCAGCGTCCCCAACTCGGGGGTGGCCCTGCCAGCCCTTGTGCCCGGGCTGCCAGGGACAGAGGCCAGCGCGCTGCAACACAAGATCAAGAACTCCATCTGGTAAGAGGATCCTCCATCGCTGGGGTAAAAAAGCCCAGGCACATTTCTGCTGCAAAGTGGGTGGGGGGCGGCGGGCGGCGGGCGGCGGGCGGGGGAGTGGAGGAGGAGGCTGATGCATTCATTGAATGTGGCTTTCCCAAGTCGGGTGCACATTTGTAGGACCTCTGGAGGTCTGGGGACTTTGCATCAATCAGCGCCTGTCTCCTTAGCTAAAAAAATGGTTTTACCCCCTCCTCAATTTTGAGTGCAGGTAAACATGTTTTTTGTTTTTTTTCACTCATTATAAAAGAAATATGGGTCGAAATTAAGTCATAGTGCATGATGGTTTGCATGAATTTGGAACTGGAGAATGTGAAATGTGTTTACTCCTTTTTGCAGCCATAGGAGGAGGAAGAAGTGTATTGTGAATTTTCACCAAACAGACATTGTGCATAAGAATATTAATATGCAGCACAAAACCTAATGTGTCTCTTCCTTTCATTTTGGGTTTCTGAATGTTTTTGCCTTCTTTATTCTAATACTAGATTTCTCTTTCAGGGAGTTTATTCTTTGCATTGATTGTGAAGAAAGCACTTCTTAAGTATAAAATATTTTAAGATGGTAGTTTACACCATAAAGTTATTTTTTTTTACTTAAAAAATAGGGAATCAAATGTCTTGCCATTTGTGTGTCTTTTTGAAAGAAGCCATAGATAAAATATCTTCTGCTATTTTACTTTCTTGTATGAAAATTTCCAACATTTCAGCATTAGATTGAACTCCTAAAGTCTAGTGGGAATCTTTTAATAATTAAATACACTGAGTTAAGTCCATCCACTGTTAGAGCCATTGCAATATTCTTTGAACATGAACTTGCATTGCTTTGTAGGATTCTTCATTAACTGACTTTTTTTTTTATGTGTAGTACTATTTTTTAAATGGAAAGCAATATTTGAAATTTGGTCTAAGAGATTGCCTTTAATAGAAGTTTAAAAAGAGAATTTCTTATGGTATTTTTAAAAGCCTTGATTTTGAAAATAGAAATGAAATCTTTGCAGGTCCATCACTGAATATGAGTACTAAAATAGCAAAACTCCTTTTATCATTTTGAAAACATATCGTAAAGCAACTGGCATTGCATGTACAGTATTTACACATTTTAAAAGTGACAATTTTTAAATACAAGATTAAGGTTAGTTATATAGTAATTTTCATTATTTTCTTGGCATGCATCCATGTTGCCATGATGCTCATATGAAGTAGGTCAGTGCAGGCTTTAATAGTCTCATCAACAGTGGTTGACAGTTGAATATCTTGCTTTCAGTTTTAATTTTAAAATGAAGTTTATTTTGAAGAATTTTTTTGGCTTTGACAATAGTCATGTTGTAGCAACTTGAATAGGTCCCATAAGTATGATTGGGGTGTGTGTGTGTGTGTGTGTGTGTGTGTGTGTCTGTGTGTGTGATAGAGAACAGTCTTTATTCTTCATTGAATACCCTCACCCCCTTTGTAAAGCTGCAGTTTAAAAGAAGGGATGGTGAATATCTTGGTTACCGTCAAGGTTTTCACAAAACCAGAGTGTTTTTTTTTTTTAACCTCTAGTAACACGTAACTTTTTGTTTCTGAAATCCTCATTAAATTGAATTAAGCAACTTGCTTTTTACATTCAGATGTGGGATATTCAAGTTATGGACTAAAATTTTTTTAAGAGAAGCAAATTTTAGAAGTTCAATTAGTAATGTATATTTCTCTAAGAGAACAAGAAGGGAAGGAATCTTCACTTTATAGTTTTAAAATAGGTGAGTTGTAGAGGCAGCCGAATGAAATGTTTAAATAATGAACGTCAAGTGCATTTTTTGATAAAAAATGTGTAAATTTAATTATTCTTTAATAGTTGATATTTGCACATCCATTACAGCCTTACTGCTCTGACTTTAACGTAAGAAAAACTTCTGAAGTAGAATACACTCCAGTTTTTGGTATTTGCTCTGAAAAAATAATGGGCAACAAACACGTGAATCCCAAAACATGAAATTTTATGTTTTTGTTTTAAAATTGTGATGGTATACTTACTAGCATCTAATGTTCAATTTTAGAAATCCTATGGGCAAAAATGATTTTTATGTACTTAAAACTTTAGAGTAAACAACATTTGTAGGTAATAAACAAGATAAGTGCATATATTTAATACTTGTACCCCCTGCTCCAAAAGAATGGGTTTATAGTATTCATTAAGTGACTGTATAAAATAAATATATCAAAAGTGAAGACTTCTTTACTACCGTATTCTCCTAAGAAATATATGTATTAAATTTAAATTACATTTTTGAGGCAATAATATTATTTTACAAATTATTTTATCACCTGATAATATTCTGAGAGAGGATCAGTTTTGTACTACTTCCTGAATAATCCTTTGGTACCATTATTAATGAGAATTTAAAATTACAGTCAAAAGAAATGTGACATTTAAAAATTATCAAATGGGTTTTGCATTTGGTTTATCGTAGTTTCTAAATTACTAGGCTTGCATATCACAAACAAGTCTGTACTTGTCCTCCTTTACAAATATAAATATAAATATAGTATGTGATGTAGGCCTTTGACTAGACAATCAGTTATTTATCAGTTCATAATTAATTTATTCTGTTTATTAAACTAAAATCCTGTTTGATAAAAGTATGCCCATTGAAATATCAGGCATTAAATGAGTCTTTGAAGAAAAGCATTCAACTTTGATTGGAAACTATTTCTTAAAAGAGTTACAAATATATTTTAAAGGTGTATATAGAAAATAAAGATAGTACAAAATTGATAGTATTGTTATATTTCTATAATATGGTTATGAATACCTTCAACTTAAGTCTAAGTTAATAAGCTTTCACGTTTCTTACTGTTACTCATTCTTACTCCATAGACAAAAAGTCCAAATCACTGACATTACTCACTAGAAAGGAGATTTCTTAGTAGGCATATGTTTTAGTACTGAATATGCTGTAAGGTATTTATATTTTCTAAGGAGTAGAATTCCAAAATAAGCTTTTGTTGTTAAAACTAGTAACCCATGCATTTTTACCTAAAACAAAGCCACAGCCTAACTGCAAACTTTTTTTAACTTAAATTGCACCCCTCTTTGGTTACTTAAAAAAAAAAAAAAAGCAAGTTTTCCCTTCCTTTTATTTCTCAGTGTCTTCATAGTTCAGTGAAAATTTTTTAGTGTAAGCCACAATAAACAAATTTACTAAGTCCTTTTGTTTACTTTTTAAGGCAGTTTTACTTGAAACCCTGATAGAATAAAATTGCTGTGAAACAAAAGGATTGAGATGGTTTCTGCCTGTTTGTGATTACTTATGTTTGAGATCATACCTACATGAGTGGGAGCAAATAACATATTTGCAATGAGGCTGTAACATAGATACAGGTTGATCATCCCTAATCCAAAATCCAAAATACCCCAAAATTCAAAATGCTCCATAATCTGAAAGACTCCAAAATCCCAAACATTTTTGGTGCCAGAAGTGAAAAATTCCACACCCAACATTGTATCATGCACAGTATTATTTAAAATACTGTATAAAAATTACCTTCAGGTTGTGTGTATTAGGTGTATATGAAACATAAATGAATTTCATGTTTAGGCTTGGGTCACATCCCTAAGATACTCATTACACATTATGCAAATATTCCAAAATCCAACATAATCAGAAGCACGCCAGGCATGGTGGCTCATACCTGTAATCCTGGCACTTTGGGAGGCCGAGGTGGGCAGATTGCCTTAGCTCAAGAGTTTGAGACCAGCCTGGGAAATATGGTGAAACCACGTCTCTACTAAAATTTAAAATGTTAGCCTGGCGTGGGATTGCGTCTGTAGTCCCAGCTACTTGGGAGGCTGAGGCAAGAGAATTGCTTGAACCCAGGAGGCCAAGGTGCAGTGAGCTGAGATCATGCCACTGCACTCCAGCCTGGGCGACAGAGCGAGACAAGGCTCAATAAGTAAATAGGAAGCACATATAATCCTAAGCATTTCATGTAAGAGATAGTCAACTTGTACCTGAAAATTCAAAAAAAATACTAGTGTTTTGTTTTAGAAAATATTCCAGTACTATATTTATTCAAATTCAGGGATTATTAAAATAATTTTTTTTTATCAATTACTGTACATTTATTTGCAGGTGAGACTTCATAAGCTTCTTATTAAAATGATCCTATAATATTGTTTTACCCATTTTATGGAAAGAGAGAAACAATGACAGAGAAGACCTGTAAGATTCTGCTGATTCCTTATTAAACCATGAAAAAAATTCTGGGGTCAGAGTTCTTTATCTTTACTCAGTCCTGCAAGGCATATGTACTTGTGTATCTGCTATATTTTAGGCTTAAAATGATAATAAAAGTGGTATTACATGTGTGATCTATTTTGGATGTTCTCTGAATTCTAGTTAAAACCCAAATTGAACAATTTTGTTTTACTTTCTTTTTTTATTTATTTTTTTTTAAATTTTTTATTGGATTTTAGGTTTTGGGGTACATGAGCAGAGCATGCAAGACAGTTGCATAGGAACACACATGG